TAACTTATAATTTTTAAAAATTTTATATTATAGTTTCAGAGTTTTGGGTTTTAGAGTTTCAGATTCTTTTTCAAAAATCCAAAACTAGTTTCAGATTAGAACCTTCTAAAACTAGTTTCAGGTAGGTTTCATTTTGAGTGCCAACTCTAGGTTAGACAGATGTTGAACACTCTGTATTAGTAAAAAGTTTGAATGAAAGTAAATTTTTATACATTTAAGAGCACTTAATTTATAAAATGTTAAAATAAAATTGGTTGAAATTGGTTTACATGGTAAAGGTTGAAACTGGTTTTAATAATCCAGATTTATTCTGTGAATTTTGGAATATTTTAGAAATTTATCCCAATTAAATTTTAATAAATTCTAAAATATCACAAAATTCATAATAAACTTGAATTATTACAACCTCTATTACATAACAATCTAATCATAAATAATGCAACAAACAATTTTTTTTAAATTGTTTATATCATTTTAGGCATATCTATTAATTTTTTTTATTTTATTCTTAAAAACTATAGTTTTAAAAATAAAAATTTTAGAAAGTATCAATAGGCCAAATTTTCATAAGTATGAGCTTTATTTTAAAAAGCCATGTTGTATGAATTTTGCTTGTTTTAAATACAACATGAATATAAAATAAAGATTTTTTAAAAATAATTTATAGTCACTACTATTTGTTACATTTATCTTGTGTCATACTAATGTTCCAAAGTTTGGTTTTCAAATGGCAAATCAAGTCTATACAAGTATAAATGTTCTGAGTCATTTCACAATTTAGATTGATTCCGATTTAGTAATGACCTAAATCAATTTTTAATGAAATGCTACGAAATTTAAGGATCAGGATAGTTAGTGCTTATTTGTCATGCAATTATTTGTCACACGCACGGCAGTGTAATTTAAACAGGAGGAACCGTTAATGTTACACCATGTGAGGGATTATATACATCACACTTGAAGTTACATATAAATAATTTCCGTTTAATTATGTCCATAACATATATTTTAGAGTAAACTCAAATAAATAATTTTAACTATATCGTGTGACACAAAAAAATGCAAGTTTTGTCGATCATTATGGCGCAGATCGTCGATCTCAAAAACAGCATAAAAAATCACTTAACAAAAAGTTTTCCTTGAGCAATTTTACTATATTATCATCCAGACTTTAACTTGATCCTAAACGCTAACCCTAACATTAATGAACTTTAAAAACTATTGCTGCGCCACTAACCTGGCACAGAATTTTTTCGTGCCATCGTGTGAAGGATTAATGTGTAACATTGACGGTTTCTCCTGTGTTTGTAATTTAAGGATCGGGTGTGACCAATCATCTAAGTGACAATTAAGCACCAACTAATTTTTTTATATAAATAAATTAGTCAGTGTTTATTTGTCACGCCTCATGGGTCATCACCTAATCTCAAAACTTAATACCTAGAATTATTACGTACGTCAAAAATTAATAAATAAATAAAATTTTCGAATGTCAATAAATACAACTTTTTTTTCTTATTAATTTTTAAAAAGAAAATGGAAAGTTGCGACCTTTTGACACGTGAATTTGATCGAATATTATTCTGCAAAGGAAAAACAATCGCTGTTTAATGGATCAAAATAAATATAATCAATGTTTAACTGTAATTAAAAATCCTAACGACTTATAAAACCAAAATTAAATACTATATTGGGTAACATAATTTTTAAAATTATTTATGTTGATGCGACCGAAGAACTTTTTACGATTAAACGACCTGAGGATGCAAGTTTGTCCTGTTGAAACCTTTTTATGCTTTAACATGCATTTTTTTATTGCGTTATTTTTTATTTATTTGTATTGCGCATTTTTTATTAATTATGTGAATTTTTTATTATTTATTTGTATTGTACATTTTTATTTATACGATTTTTATTTTATTTGAAGCATTAAAGCATTTTTTTCTAGCATAGCTAAATTTTATTATAAAGAATTTTTATAAGATTGATTTCTTTATGTAAAGTTTGCTTTTTCATTTAAGAATATAATTAATATTATTGCTTGTGTTATATAATTTATCGTTTGAGCATATAATTTTTTAATTTTTTTAAAAAATTCACCGATTGAGAAATGATCTAGGTCATTTCAAAATTCAAGAATGACCTAGGTCAATTTGTTTACGAAGTGGGCAATAACTAAAAATCGAACCCTGATCAGACGAATGGATAATGACAGAATGACCACTGGCTGCGAAGCAGCATGGTTAAAAATCCATTTATTAGCCTAGATCATATTGTTACGGGGTTTTTGATATTTTATAGTTTAATTATACAATTCGTAGGTTAAGGCAACTCGCCAAAGGCGCGACAATGGTGATTTTAATAATTTGATTTACTTGTTATGGGTATATAGGTACCGTTTTATTTGGAGTTTATTTTTCTGATCATTAATTAGTTCTTTTTTTTTTTTAAAAAGGGTACTACAGCTCTCTTTTTATATCATTTAAACTTTAAGGCTACGTAAGTTATTCTACTTTACTCTTTTATTTCTATTCGAACACGATTGGTTTCCTTATACTATGTCATTACCCTCGTCATTTCCCTCGTCATTACCTTCGTCGTCATCACCCTCGTCATTACTATAATTTGTGGAACGTTTGTATGACAAAGAGAAGTATTCCTTTTTTTGGCAATTCCCTTATTTGTCTAACTTCGCCACTTTTTATTTTTTATACGTACTATTATTTTCCGGGCCTATCCTTTTTACCCGTAACAATATTAATAAAATTAGGGACAATTTATGGTTAGTGATCACGATGAATGTTTTTATCCTATAAAAAAGCACGTCTAAAGTATATTTATTATAAAAAATGGCCTCATATAAAGTCGAGCTGATTAAATGATAAAATTTATAGCAATTTCTGTTGTGCGTTATAAAACTTTTCTTTTGTAAATACTAAAGATTAGTTTAAAATCGAATTATTTATATTGTACATGGATGCACAATTGACTTTTTAGCTAATACTGTAATAAAAGGAAATTTAGCCATGTTCTGTGTACCTAACCACATTTGAATTATTATTCGCTTATCGTTATGTACTAGTGTTATACGAGTATTATATTAGTAACTTCATAGAAAGTTCTAAACTTAGAGTACAGCCATTAACGGCGCGATCTGCATTATATCAGATGTTCTATTGGAAAAATAATGTTCGTTATGGAAAGATTTAAAGTTATGCCCTAAGAAATCAAAAGCATAAATAGCTTTATTTCCTATCAAATAAAAGGCGGATTTAATCTTTGTTTATAACGACTCTATTGTATTATTCCTTTAGCCAAGTTAATTTAAACTTTAAATGACCTATTTAACCACATTCCACGTTCATGTAAACTAGTAAATTATACACAATTTCTGCTTTCTAGATATAAAAAGCTAACATGGTGTACCGTAAAGAGGAATGCGTAAATTGCAATAAATATCAAATACTTAACCGTAATAAGCTATGCAATAGTTGTAAACCTAAATGCACCAGCTGTAATAGAAAAAAAGAACTTTTAGATGAGAGTAAATTATGTGCCGGTTGCTATTATAGCCAAACACAGTTACAGAATGTTAGCAGCGGAAATCAAGATATTGACGATTTAATAAAGGCAACATATCATAATCAGCCTAAATTTAGATTAGAGTGGATCCCGTTTGAGGATTTTACAGATATAAAACAAATCGGAAATGGTGGTTTTAGTGAAATCCATATGGCCAAATGGACAAAAGGAACAATAGTTGGATGGGACTGGAGAAATAAAAGATTCAAACGAAATGAATATAAAACGGTTGTATTAAAAATTCTTAAGGATTCTCAAGATATTAATTCGACATTCTTAAAAGAGGTAACAATAGAGAAGCCTTAGCTTAATTATCGGTAGATTACTCTAAACATTTGTCTTTTTTTTCTACAGTTACAAAATATCGTTAAAAGCCAGCCTAATTCCTACATGCGTCGCATTATTCAATGTTATGGAGTATCACAATTTCCAAAAACAAATGATTATATTTTTGTTATGTCTTATATGCCTAATGGAAGTCTAAATGATTATTTATCTAATAATCTTAAGGATGCTACTTGGGAAATTAAACGTGACTTTCTTAGGGATATTGCTACAGGCATTAAATGGATTCATAAAAATAAAATTGTACACCGTGATATACACAGTGGAAATATATTAATAGGCAATTTGAAAAGCAATGGTCCTGATTCTAATACTTTAATTGCTGATTTAGGGTTTAGTCGACCAGCAAAAGATGATGTAGAAAGTTCAGAACATAATATATATGGAATTATGCCATACATTGCACCTGAAGTGCTTAACAAAAAACAATATTCATTTAGTTCAGATATTTACAGTTTAGGAATGATTATGTGGGAACTTACGAGTGGATATCGCCCTTTCTATGATCGGCCGTATGACTCACATCTTGCACTTGATATATGTAATGGGTTACGACCAAATATTACTAAAGATACTCCACATTGTTGGGCCATTTTGATGCAAAAATGTTGGCATCCGGTTCCCTCAGCAAGGCCAAATATTGATGAAATATATGATGAAGTAAATTCTAGATATTGGAGTGAAAATAAAAGTTTTCTAAAAGAAGCTGAAAAGAAACGACAAAAAATGCTTAATGCTGGGAAAATAACTGTTAAATATATACATCCTCATTCTAAAACTCACAGCCAATTATTAAATCCTACTGTAGACTCTATGCTTTTAGATTTACTTCAAGGTTCTAAATCTTTTACATTACAACCTATAGATTCTTTTCAAAGCATTAGCAGCGATTTATTTAATATTATGTAAGTAATTAAGTTTCTTTTTTACAATCGGAAATTTAAAATAATAAATTAACGATGTTTCTAATTTAAATGGATACCCAGTCCTGAGCACTTCAAAAACGTTAACCGTCTAAATTCAACGATAAAATTATCACCTTCAAAAAAACACACCATCGAAAATGAATGTGATTATGGTAAATTTAAATTAATATTTATTTTATCGATCTCAACGTATTAATGGACTTGTTTTATGGTATTATATTTATAAGATGAAATAAAACGAAGAAGGCTATCTGATAATGGTATATTATTTTTATTCAATTTAATATCTATAATATTAATCATACTATTTAACATTTTTAACCAGAATTTTCACTTATATACACTAAAATAATAAATTTATATACGAATTCATATTATTTAATTAAACAGATTCACGGCCATATACCTTGTCACTAAATGATGCTATTTATAAAATTACCAAACTGAGCAATTTGCATTTAAATCAATATAAGCTATGTTATGAGGCGGGAAAAGCTCTAACTTCAGCTTTATGTACAAATCCTAATTTAAAATGCTTGGATTTAGGTTCAAAAAAACTATGTAATGGTGCAGGACAAGAAATTGCTAGGGCATTAGGCAATAACAACACACTAACAAATTTAAATTTAGAAAACAATTATCTTGGTGACGGTGCAGTAATGGCTCTAGCCAAAGCTCTGTATAAAAACACCACTATTATGTGTTTAAATTTAAATAATAATCGATTTGGCAGTAAAGCTGCAAAATTATTGGCTGAAGCTTTATGCAAAAATACCACCTTAACTAATTTAGATTTAAGTTCGAATAATCTTAGTGAATCAGGAGGAAAAGCACTGGCTGAAGCTTTATGCAAAAATACCACCTTAACTAATTTAAATTTATATCATAACCGCTTAGGTGAATTAGGAGAAAAAGCACTGGCTGAAGCTTTATGCAAAAATACCACCTTAACGAATTTAAATTTAAGATATAATAAAATAGGTGAATCAGAAGGAAAAGCATTGGCTGAAGCTTTATGCAAAAATACCACCTTAATGAATTTAAATTTAGGTTATAACAACTTAGGTGAATCAGGAGGAAAAGCACTGGCTGAAGCTTTATGCAAAAATACCACCTTAACGAATTTAGATTTAAGATGGAATGACCTTGGTGAATCAGAAGGAAAAGCACTGGCTGAAGCTTTATGCAAAAATGCCACCTTAACTGACTTAAATCTAGAAAAAAATAAAATAGGTGAATCAGGAGGAAAAGCACTGGCTAAAGCTTTATGCAAAAATACCACCTTAACTAATTTAGATTTAAGTGATAATAATCTTGGTGAATCAGGAGGAAAAGCACTGGCTGAAGCTTTATGCAAAAATACCACCTTAACTAATTTAGATTTAAGTTATAATCAAATAGGCGAATCAGGAGGAAAAGCACTGGCTGAAGCTTTATGCAAAAATACCACCTTAACAAATTTAGATTTAAGTGATAATAATCTTGGTGAATCAGGAGGAAAAGCACTGGCTGAAGCTTTATGCAAAAATACCACCTTAACTAATTTAAATTTAAGATGGAATAATCTTTGTTACTCAGTAGGAAAAGCACTGGCTGAAGCTTTATGCAAAAATACATCCCTAACTAATTTATGTTTTAGTGGTAATAATTTTGGTGAATCAATAGAAAAAGCACTGGATGAAGCTTTATGCAAAAAAAACCACCTTGTCTAATTTGGTTTAATCTGGAATAATATTAGTGAATCAAGAGTAAAGGCGCTAGATGAAGCAATTTAGCGTAATCGTTCAGAATGCCCACAAAACTATTAAAAAGTAATGAAAATGAATTCACTTCGTATTGGTGGATTTGAAACATCTTAAGTTTTTGTACCAAAATTATATATAAACAACCATCACCCATAATTAGTTTATCACGTAAGTACATACTATAACTCAAAATGAGCTTCAATGTAAATTTCTGTTTCAAAGTAATTCAAACATTATTCATAAATATTAGTCACTGAAATACAATATACCTATAAGACAAATTCATATTTAAAGGAGCTAATTAGTAGAGATAGGGAAAATGCGCATTTTATAATATTATGCGCATGATATAGCATAAAATTTTTTTCTATATATAGCTGCTAATTTTTGCACTATTTTAAACTTATGATAGTTATGAGTGTTAACAAGAGAAAACCTGCAAATCTTATCTAGCAAGTTTTGCTGGTTTTCTTTGACAGAACTTATATTAGCGTGAGTTAAATTATTAGATCATAATTAGCTTTTTGATATACATATATACAATATTAGAATTAATATATGAGTGTTCCCAAGGGAAAAGGGCACTTCGATCAATTATCAAGTTTAGTAATAGTTCAGCAATGATGCAGATCAGGCTTTCAATACCTATTAATATTGCTGAACTTGATAATTAATCTGTAAACTCCTATAATTGCTTTTTCCTTGGTGGCACTCGTATTGTGTAGTTGATACATAATAATCACAATAGTCAAATTGTTTGTCTCTCATTTCTGTGTACAAAAACTATGTAGAACAATAAACGGGGTATGCCTCTTCCATCATCGAGCAACCTATGCAGCCTTCACGAGTATCGGCTGGTTAATATAAGCTTTTACTATGCATTATCGTTATCAAAAATCTAATTGCTTCTA